TGTATCCTGCAACTTTGGTTAATTCATGTATTAGCTTTAGTAGTTTTATAGTGTATTCCTTAGTATTTCCTTTTTGTCCATTTTATCTGAGTCATCTAATTTGATGTCTTTATGAGTTAAGTAGGGCTGCCATAACAAAATAGCACAGACTGAGTGGCTTAAATAACAAAAATTTATTCTCTCACAGCTCTGGAAGTTGCAAGTCCAAGATCAAGGTGCAGCAGGGTGTTTTTTTTTTCTGAGGCCTCTTTCCTTGGCTTGTAGATAACCAGCTGCCTTCTTGCTATATCCTCACATGGCCTTTCCTCTGTGCATGCACATCCCTGTTGTCTCTTCCTCTTTTTTAAAGGACACCAGTCATATTAGATTAGAACTCTACCCTTATGACCTCATTTAACCTTAATTACTTCTTTAAGGACTCTATATACTGTCACATTCTAAGGTACTAGAGATTAGGGCTTCAACATATGATTTGTGGGGACAGGGGCACAATTCAGTCCATAACAAAGGCGTACAATTGTTTATAGTATTCCTCTATAATTCGTTTTATTTCTGTAAGTTTGCTAGCAATGCCCTCTTTTTCACCTCGACTTTAGTAATTTGCATCTTTTCTCTTTATTTCTTGGTCAGTCTGGCTAAAGTGTTGTCAATTTTGTTGATCTACTCAAAGAACAAACTTTTGGTTTTGCCAGTTTTCCCTATTGTTTCTCTATTCCCTACTTCATTCATTTCTGCTCTAGTCTTTATTATTTCCTTTCTTCTACTTATTTTGGGTTTAGTTTACTTTTCTTACTTCTTTTTACTTGAGATTTTCTTCCTTTTCATTTATTTATTTTTTAAATTTTTATTTTATATTGGAGTACAGTTGATTTACAATGTTGTGGTAGTTTCAGATGTACAGCAAAGTGATTCAGTTATACATATACATATATCTATTCTTTTTCAGATTCTTTTCCCATTTAAGTTATTACAGAATATTGAGTAGAGTTCCCTGTGCTATAGAGTACGTCCTTGTTGATTATTTATTTTATATTTAGTAGTGTGCATATGTTAATCCCAAACCCCTAATTTATCCCTCCCCCTGAACCTTTCCCTTCGGTAACCATAAATTGTTTTCTAAGTCTGTGAGTCTGTTTCTGTTTTGTAAATAATTTCATTTATATCATTGTTTTAGATTCCACATACAAGTGATATCATATGATATTTGTTTTTCTCTGACTTACTTCACTTAGTATGATAATGTCTAGGTCCATCCATGTTGCTGCAAATGGCATTATTTCATTCTTTTTTATGGCTGAGTAATATTCCATTGTATATATGTACAACATCTTCTTTATCCATTCATCTGTCAATGGACATTTAGGTTGCTTCCATGTCTCGGCTATTGTAAATAGTGCTGCAATGAATATTGGGTACATGTATCTTTTCAAATTATGGTTTTCCCCAGATATATGTTCAGGAGTGGGATTGCTGGATCATATGGTAACTCTATTTTTAGTTTTTTAAGGAAACTCCATACTGTTCTCCGTAGTGGCTGTACCAATTTACATTCCCATCAACAGTGTGGGAGGGTTCCCTTTTCTCCACACCCTCTCCAGCATTTATTGTTTGTAGACATTTTTATGATGGCCATTCTGACTGGTGTGAGGTGATACCTCTTGGTAGTTTTTATTTGCATTTCTCTAATAATTAGCGATATTGAGCATCTTTTCATGTGCTTTTTGGCCATCTTTATGTCTTTTTTGGAGAAATATCTATTTAGATCTTCTGCCCTTTCTTCCTTTTTTTTTATTTTGGCCATGCTGCACAGCTTGTGGGATCTTAGTTCCCCAACCAGGGATTGAACAGGGACCCATGACAGTGAAAGTGCTGAGTCCTAACCACTGACTGGACCGCCAGGGAAGTCCCCCTTTTTAATATAGGCATTTACAGCCATAAATATTCCTCTAAGCACTTTTTAAACAGTATCTCATAAGTTTTCAGTTGTCGTGGTTTCATTTTCATTTATCTTAAAGTGATATCTAATTCCCCTTGTGATTTCTTTGATCTATTGATTATTTAGTAATGCATTGTTTAATTGCCACAAATTTGTGAATTTCTCAAATTTCCTTGTTATTGATCACTCATTTGATTCCATTGAGGTTAGAGATTGTATTTTGTATGATTTTAATTCTTTTAAGTTTATTGAGGCTTGTTTTATCACCTAACATATTGTCTATCCTGGAGAATGTTTCCTGTGCACTAGAAAAGAATGTATATTCTGCTTTTGTTCAGGGAATGTTCTGTTGATATCAGTTACATCTAATTGGTTTATAGTGCTGCTCAAGTCTTCTATTTCCTTCTTGACTGTCTCCCTAGTTATTCTATCCATTATTGAAAGTGGGGTACTGAAGTCTCAAACTGTTATCATCAAATTGCCTATTTCTCTCTTCAGTTTTGTCAGAATTTGCTTCATGAATTTGGGGCTCTGTTGTTTATATGTTTATAATTGTTATGTCTCCCTGGTGGATTGACACTTTTATCATTATAAAATGTCCTTTTTCTTCTCTAGTAATAATATTTTCTTAAAGTCCATTTTTTCTGGTATTAGTATGGTCACTCCAGCTCTCTTCTAGCTACTGTTTGCATATATAGTGTGTTTTGTCATACAGAATTTTTAAAGTTTTATGTAGCTGAATATATAAATTTTTTATGGCTTCTGCATTTTGAACAATAGTTTGGCCTTTTCCATTTCAAGGTGATAATTGACTCTCCCATGTTTTCTCCTATTATTTCTGTATCTTCAGTTTTTAAGTTTCTACTTTTGGTCCATTTGATTTTGTTTGGTACTTGGTGTAAGTTGTAGATCCAACTTAATTTTTTCTTATATGTCCAATTGCCACAGCACAGTTTATTGAATGGTTCATCTTCATTGCTGCTTTGGGCTGGTACCTTTATCTTATACTAAATTCTTATGTGTATTTGCATCTGCTTCTTACTGTCTTTTTTCTTCCATTGTTCTGTTTGTCTACTAATGCACTAGGACCACAGTATTTTATAGACTGTGGCTTTATAAGTCTTTATATCATCATGTTAGCCTCTTGTCATTTCTCTTATTTTTCAGAATGTTTCTTGCTATTCTTGTGTGCTTATTTTTTTCATATCAACATTACATCAATTTGCTTACTTAAACAATTTGCTTACTTACTAATAATTCTAATAGTAATTCTAATAATATCTAAACCTGTTGGTATTTTCCTAGGATCATATTAAATTTATGAATTAACTTAGATTGATTGGCATTTTTTTGACATTGAATATTTCTGATCTGAAACATGGTTGTCTTAATGTTTGTACAGGCCTATTTTCAAGGTCTTCAGAAAAAATTTTTAATTTTTAAAAATCTTTAATATGAAAAGTTAAAAATAGAGAGAATAATATCACGGACCATCACTGTGGACCTATTACCCAGCTTAAATAATTATGAACACATGGCCATATTTTCAGTATTACTGCCTCTCTCCCTCCCTCCCTCAATGTTTTACAACAAATCCCAGGCATTATATAAGAAATATGATCAATTTTTCTTCATATAGTTGTGTACATTTCTTATTAAGCTTATTCCTAGGCCTTTTATCTAACTGTTGTTCATTGTTTTTATATAGGAAGATTTATTTCTGTACATTGATTTTGTACACTTTTGTTATTATTTAAATATTTGTTTGTTCTAATTTGAATTCATTGACTTGAAAAGGTTACCACCCTTTATAATTTGCTAACCAGATTTCACCTGTATGCTCACCTGAACTGTTAGAAATATGCTAAAATTCTAGGTATAAACTAGTGTAGTAAGCTACTAGTCTTGCACCAAACAACATATTTGTGACCTGAAACGTAATAACCAACCTGTGTGGTGACATGTCAAATTTACCTGGAATTCCTGTCCTGTAAGGTTCTCTGTTAATACCTGAAAAACTCAGGTTGTCTTCAGGTTCCTGTCACTTTATAATGTTTTATGTGCAGTTGCTGGCCTCTATTCTTCCTGTAGACCTTAAAATCACTCCCTGATGTAAGTCAGTCCCTCAGAGAGGCACATAACTCTTCTGAGCCAGTAGGGAACCATTTCAGTCTTTTGAGTTCTTATGATAAGCACTGATCAGATGTATCAGGAATCACATTGTGGCATGAGCACTAATATTTTAGATAGTTTCTAATGTAGCACCGTCAGTATCCTGCACCTTAGAACAGGATACTCTCAGAGTTTTTCAAACTCTCAGAGTTTTAACAGTCCCTTTGACACTTTCCTGTGTTACCTGATTAAGCTGTTCTGCTGGTGTAGAGTCAGGGATTTGGGGTCTATTTTATTCATTTCAGAAAATTCTAGTTGCCTGGAGCCTTTATCTTTCCCATAACCTGCCTCTGAAATGGCATATGGTTTTTCTGCCAAATAAGAATTTTCTTTTGGATATCTCTGGTATTACATAAGGAAAAATTCTAGTTTATTCCAAATATTAAAGCAACTTTTCTTCAGAGAAAAGTTCTTTCCCCTACATTGCAATGACTTAGCTTACACGACACTTTTCAAATGACAAACTTATCTGGATAGAGATAAATATATCTCATTAAAATATGGCTTTAAGGGAAGCTGTGGAGACAGTTTTAATATGGCACATGATGATATCCTTGATGCCACGTCATACGACCAAGTTACATGGCTACCATTATTTAAGGTAATAGTACCAGCCTCATTGAGTTCATATAGGAATTAGGTGAATTGATATATTTAAAGTGCTTAAACTTAAAACTAGTACCTAGCACGTAGTACCCACTGGTGAGTGTTTGTTAAATACATAAAAAAGAAAATAAAACCTATGTACAGAGAAATGGACTTTCTTAAAATAGATCAAGGGAAAAACTGAAATTCTATAGTCTACTATAGTCTCTCTCAGCTCACTCTTGTTGAATTAACTTCCTTCCTGCATATATAGTTTCTAATTTGAACAACCTCTTTCATTTTAAAGATTCGCCGGTTCTCAGTCCAGCTAATTCTGCAATCAATTTAAGTGGAGCTCAGGACCTGACCTGGAATAAGAATGTTGTGAAGCCACTGGCTTTATCTTTGCAGGTTGTAGGGAAGACTTTTGCTGCAGGTGATGTTTTCCTCACTTATATATATATTTTTAATTTATTTATTTTTAATTTATTTTTGGCTGTGTTGGGTCTTTGTTGCTGAGCACAGGCTTTCTCTAGTTGTGGTGAGCGGGGGCTACTCTTTGTTGCGGTGCACAGGCTTCTCATTGCAGTGGCTTCTCTTGTTGCGGAGCACGGGCTCTAGGCGCACGGGCTTCAGTAGTTGTGGCATGCGGGCTCAGTAGTTGTGGCACACGGGCTTAGTTGCTCCATGGCATGTGGGATCTTCCCGGACCAGGGCTCAAACCCGTGTCCCCTGCATTGGCAGGCAGATTCCTAACCACTGTGTCACCAGGGAAGCCCTCCTCACTTATATTTATTTGGTAAATACCTAGTCCATAAAAGACTTGTGTGAAATTTAATTGACAATTTGGTAGAAGAAAACAGAAGCTCCTTCTTTGCCAGTTGAAGGCAAAAGTGGGGCTGTCTACTATAATGCACGTTTATACAAAGCTTTGTGTTTTCTGTGTTACATCCAGAAGAGTCAGTGAATGACATTTGGCACACAGGGGAGAAAAAGCAGGTTGATTCTGTTCAATAAAAATTTCTTGGATACCTGCTATACTGAGGAACTGGGGATAGATACTAAGATAAATAAGGCTCAGTCCCTGACCTCTAATGTACTTGTAACCTTGCAGAGGAGATCAACCTAAAAGAAGATATTTTCAGTGTACTGCAATAAATACATAATATCCTAGGGGAGCACAGAGGAGGGGGGGTTAGCCCAGCATTTTAGGGAGTAATTGAGAACGGGTTCTTGGGGACTTCCCTGGTGGTCCAGTGGTTAAGATGCCGCGCTTCCAATGCAGGGGGCGTGGGTTCAAACCCTGGTCAGAGAATAGGGGAAAGACATTTCAAATTCAGGGAAAAGCAGGAGCAGAGCTTGAAAGGAAAAGGAAAGGAAAGAAGCAGCATGACATGTGCAGGAACTTCCAGCAGTTTGGACTCGTTAGAAACATACAATGTAAAACTCAGGGAGTAGCGGGAGGTGAGCAAGAGGCAGAAAAGGGAAAGGTCATAGGAGGTCAGGATAAGAAGTATGGATTTCACTCTATAACTTATGGCACAGGGGAGTGACATGGTCTTATTTTAACTTAAGCTAGATCATTTTGGCAGCAAAAAGAAAGCGTTGGGAATACAAGTTGCAGGTCGTTCAATAGTCTGGTTGAGAAATGATGAGGTCCTTGACCAGGGTGAAAATAGGTTGGAGAGGAGGAGACAGATTGGAGAGCTACTCAGGATGTAAAATGAGCAGACTTGACTGATTAATGGGAGTGTAAAACAGAAGAATGGGTTTCAGTTGACGTCCATCTTTCTGGGCTAATGGTTAGTACCATTGCTTGAGATAGGGAATACAGCAAGGGAAGCAGGTTCCCCAGGAGGAGATTGTGAGTTCAATTTTGGACATGATGAGTTTGAAATACCCATCAGGCATCCAAGTGGTGCTACTCAACGGTAATTTAATTTATCGTAGGAGGAAAACAGGACTAATGGTATAAAGTTGAGCCACCAGCATATGGTTAAAATCACCATGTAAATAGTGTCAGCCAAGGAGAAATGTAGGGTAAGGCAAGCTATGAACTAAAGGCAGACCCGTAGAAAATTTCAGTGTTTAAGAAAAAGAAATGGTCAGAGAGGTAGAAGAAAAATAAAGAGAAAGAGAACCTATCATTCTTGGAAACTTTCCAACAGTTAGGTATCATCATTTATCCAGACCACTTTTGTTCTTACTCTGGTCCAACAATTCTTGCAGAATCTGCCTTCTGTTTAGATTACAGACTGGAACAAACTGAGTCCAAGTTTTTACAGCATAGAAGAAAAATTAATGAAATTATGGATCTTGGCAGTAATTATCATGACTGCTAAAACCATCAGATGAGAGGCTGATGAACAACTTTGTAAATTGAAGATTAGGCTGACAACTCTTAAACCCACGGATGAATCTTTACATCACAGGAAAAGAGAAAACTGGTCATTATGTGCCTCTTAATGGAAGTATACAATAGGACTTATGAGATACTCTTGCCAAAAAAAATCAAACTTGAATCTGAGCAAACATCTATATCTAATGATTAGTTTAGGAATTAGAGGAGACATCAAATGACACCATGGATATCCAATCAGCAAAATACAGGAAATGAGAAATTCTGCCAGGTTTTCAGCAAATTAATTGTTAGAAAGAAAAAGAAGAATAATTCTATAGATTAAAAGAGGTTTAAGGGACATAGCAACTAAATTCAGTGTGTGGATATTTTTTGAACCCCAGTTTGAACAAGAAATGTAAAAAGCCATTTCTGAGCTGATTGGGAGAAATTTGAATACTGATGGGATATTTGATATTAAGAAATTATTGATCATTGTTAATGTTAAATATAAAAAAGATCACGGTTATGTTTTTTAAGAGTCCTTTTCTTTTAGAAACACATACAAAAGTATTTATGGATGAAATGATATGACAAATGAGTTTGCTTCAAAATAATCCAGAGCCCATATGTGTGTCTGTGGGTGGGAGGGGAAAGATAGGGAGTATATGTAAAGCAGGATTGGCCACATGTTGGTAAGTGTTGAAGCTGGGTGATGGGTACATAGTTTATATACCATTGTCTCTGCTTTTATATATGTTTGAAAATTTCCATGATAAAAGGTAAAAAAAAAAAAGTTTTCTCTTCTTTTCTACCCACCATCTCCAAAGACTTCACTGAAAATAATTCTAAAAGATATCTTGGGGTCCTAGAAAATTATTTTGGGTGACATTTCATGTTAGTTAAAGTAGTACTCTGTTGGTTGTAGTTGGATCTGTACAACTGGGCTGTTCCGTCAGTGGGATTTCTTTGAATCCTATGTGAGGTTTGTCATATGGTTGCAGCATCACAGAAAGCAGTGTCCTGCCCAGACTCTGTTTTGAGTGGCTCCTCTTGTGTACCACAGATGCTGCTAATGGAAACAGTAGCCATGGAGGAAAGAGCAGTGCGTCTAGCTCCACTCCAGCCCGCCCAGGGAATTACTCTTTGTCACCAAGACCTAGCTTTGCCTCAGGAGACCAAGGTACAATACCCATCTTAGAGTTTTGAAATAACACTTAATTATGGAAGAAGTGCTCCAGAGAGTTTGGAATGATTAATTATCTGGCAGCACACTCCCAGTTTTTCCTTAGCTTCTCGTACAATGTTTTGAAAATTTATGATTGGTATGAACAATTATGATTAACATATCTTGGTGATTCTACAAGGGTGGGCCTACCTAGGAAATAACATTGAAACAAATATATAAGAAGTGTCTTGAAAAGCCATGGGCTTTGATGACCAAAGTGCAGGGTTCAAAGTTCCTCTCTGTGTGTGACTCTGGGTAAATGTGAGCCTTCCTTTCACCATCTACAGAATGGGTATAACAAAGTAGTTGTCCTACAACTTCACAGGGTTGTTGATAGAATCAGATGAAATAATCTGGGTGAAACGGTACATTGTAAAACAGCCTGCAGCTGTTAGTGCTGTTAGTGTGTGACTTTTTCTAACTTTATCTTTACCTCTAGAAAAGTGACTTCGACTTTCTGGGTATAATCATAGTAAAGGTCCTATGTTACTTCGGCTTCTTTCCCTTCTTCCATGACTAAGGACAAGGCTCATCTTTCTTTTTGTATTCAGCTACCATGTTCATTTCTGGACCACCAAAGAAACGACACCGAGGATGGTATCCTGGGTCACCTGTCCCCCAATCTGGTTTAGTTGTACCTATTCCTGCAGTTCGCCCTCTTTCAAGAACTGGTAAGATTTCAACAGAAGATGGGTTTTAAGTTTCCTTAAATTAACAAAGGTATCTGCTACTCTCGTTCTTTCCATGAACCCTTGAAAATAAATTTCCTTAACTAACTTTTGTGTCCAGTACTATAGCAGCTAATATTTTGTCCCCATCACATCTGCCATCCCTATAAGCACATGTGCCATCACAAAAGATCTTGATTCACCATCTGTCTTTGTTTTACACTATAGTGTCAATAAACCACTCTTTATATAGGGCATGATGCTACCAATCCATTATAGAGCATAAATGAACTTGCTTTGCCAATAGTGGTATTTGATGTATCCTCCTGTGATCTGGTTCGTTATGTGACCTATACTTACTATTTCTGAATTGGATGGTTCAGTCTGTACTAGAATCCTGAAAAACCAACTGGTTCTCCTTTATAATATCCAAGCTGTGGCCATTTGGTACTTACAATTAAATGTTCAAATGCTCATCTACCTTGCTGTATGAAACACAGACAAATGTAAATATACCAATTCTAAGACATAGATGGGGTTCTTTAAAAATTTACATTTGTTTAAAAAATGATTCTAAAATCTACAGACAAATGATAAATACAGAAAGAATTATGCCGGTATGTTACTGTGGTTGCCTCTAGGTAGTACTGATTAATGATGAATTTATCCTTATTCTCACTTTTCTATACTTTTCACATTTTCTGTAATGAGTAGATATGCCTTGATAATCTAGGGTGGGGGGAGATAAAATACGAAACAGAATCCAAAATACTGTATGTGGAAAAACAACTAGAAGGAAAAACTGCCAAAATGCTAAATAGTAGTTATCTCCAGACGATTTGATAATGGTTGATATTTTCGTTTGTTTTTCTCACTTATTTTATACAATAAATACAAATTACTTTAATAAAAAAGCCATTAGACTTATAAAACTTGCATATTAAAAGTATTAATGCTGTGTTGATTTCAACTATATTTCATTTATCCTTCCTAGCTAATCCTTCTTGTCAAACAACTTTTTTTCCAGAGTCCCTTTTATCTGCCCCAGTTCCACAGACCCCATTAACTGGAATTTTACAACCTCGACCCATTCCTGCAGGGGAAACTGTAATTGTTCCTGAAAATCTGCTGAGTAACTCAGGAGTTAGACCAGTAATCCTGATAGGTAAGGAAAGGAATTCCAAGTTGCCTGTGTCTGCTGGAATCTAGGAACAATCCTCCATTTCACTGCGTGTCTATTCATGTGTTCATGAAGGTATTCATTGATCCATCTATTAATTCTTTAAGCACTTATTGGTCAGCTCCTTCATGATATCCTAAACATGGGACTAGAAGTTGGGAATAAGGCAAAGTCTTTTTGCCCACAAGGAGCACTGTTTAGTGGGGCAGTCTAGAGGTTCACAGCCAAACTCTCCATCATCTCAGAGGTGATGTTTCAGCTGGGGAACTGAGGGGTGGATGAGAGCAGACAAGGTTGGGGACGGCTCATTTCAGTCAAAGGGAGCCAAACGGCAGAGAAAAGGAACAAACTGAGCCAGCAAAGAGGCCCCACTTGGGAGAACCAAGAGGCCCCAGAGCTGCAGATCTAAACCATGGGGAAGCATTTAGGAGTGAGAGCCTTTCCAAGCTCTCTATAAGTGGAGGTGTAGAAATGTAGGGGTCCCTAGATTCCATGACTAATTTAGAGCCTTTCATACCCACATCAAGAGTGCCCTCGTCGGGGGGCTAGCCTAGGCCAGAAGAAGAAGACTGCCGGCTTTACCTTCGGGACTAAACAGATAGGGTGTTTAAGCCCACTAGATCTTTATGGTATGTCTATGTGAGGTGTTATCTGTTTCTTGCAGTTGGCTTGAGCCAGACATGGATGGTTTCGCTTTGAGCCCTGTTCTTTATCAGACTGCCCTATCCACTGCTCCTGGACCTATAGGCACTAGGGGGAATCCCAGTTGTTTAAATTCCATATAGTCAGGAAGTTCTTACTGAACATTTGAATTGCATGCACAGTGCAACTAAGCCTTGGAAAGATACGTAAAACATGAGGACCCTTTGGTGTCTGCCTTTTAGAAAGACTCACAGAGGGACTGTTCTCTTCACCATACCACAAATACAGGGTGTATTTTCAACACGTTTGTGTCCTATCTACTTCTAAGATGATTTAAGGCTGTTTACTGACAATTAGGAAGAGAACACAACAAAAATGGCTAAGATAGCAAAAAAAGTAAGAACCTCCAAGTCCCTGCAACTGGAAGAATATTGCTGTTGATCAATGAATTTAGCTTAAATGTTTTAAAAGAAAACCTCAAGAAGTGACACATGTTATTGTAGCTTGTCTGTTTGTTTGTTTTCTGACTTCTTTTCTGAAAAGAAACTTGATCAGGAATTTTACCTGAAAACATTTTATTCTTGCAGTTTTACAAAGGGTACAGAGATGTTTCTGCAAACTCTCATCAGTCCTCTATGTCAGAGATATAATATTAACATGTCTCTTATATAATATAGTTTGAGTATTAATATAATTAGAGTATTTTGCTTCCTGTTCTTCTAATTTAATGAAAGGGTAGAATTTAGAGCATTCGCATGAATTCCCTGGGATTGATATATTTGAGTGATTTGTTTGGTAGCCATCTCAGAGGGCAGGGAACTTTGTTAAGCATCGTTGATCCTAGTTGAGCAAATATACCTGGTTGGACCTCAAAAAGAAATGTTGAACTTCACTGACCTGCTTCTATTGGGGCAGGCTATGGCACTTTACCCTATTTCTATGGAAATGTTGGTGACATTGTTGTGAGTCCTCTGCTGGTGAATTGCTACAAGATTCCACAGTTGGAAAACAAAGATTTGGAACAGTTAGGTTTGACTGGCAGCCAGCTCCTGAGTGTGGAAAACATGATTCTTCTGACAATACAGTATCTCGTGCGGCTGGGTAAGCAATTTTCAATAATCATTTGATTGCGACGATTTTTATTCTTTTTTGGAACATACTTTTTTCCTTTCTTACCCACTTTCTCACATTTATCCACTTCTTACTTTCCCCTCTTTCACGTCTAACATTCTTTTTCTTCAACCCCATTCTCTATGGCTTTTCCCTTTCCTCTCCTCCATTTCTTTCCTACTCCTTTCCTTCTCTTTCCTATTTCTTTTTCTCCCCCCTATTTCTCTCAGATCTAGCCTCCCTTGCTGCTGGCTTTGCTTCTTTGGGTCCTAGAAGAGATAAATTGCTCCACCTGGTGTCCAGGGCCATAATGGTCCTAAAGTCTCCAAAGCAGTTGATGTAGGCAGACTGTCCAAGGGCTGTGCCGTGGGTACCTCCCTTGTGAGTCAGGCCAAGCCACCTTTCTGAAAGTGCAGCTACCATCTGGAATGCAAATGTAGCCATTGTGTTAGACAATTATTTTCCAATTTTCCACTTAGCCTTTTTATCTTGTTTATCCACTGCCCCTACACCCATTTTTTTCTTCTCCAGCTCCATCCCTTTGATGTAGTCCCAAACTGCTTCCTTTCATTGAGATAGTAACTTGGACCTCCCTGGAAGGTTTTCTGAGCTTTAGGGTAAGGGGATACCTAGGTCATGAACCCTTCACTTCCTCTATTTGATATCTCCTCCTGAGCCCCACAGTGGGTGTATGCAGGTGCCCTGACAGGACTTTAGTGGCTCCGCAGCATTTGCATTGCAATGTCCTTTATTTTGCAAACTGCAGTAGGCCATCTAATATGCAGCCTAATTATATACCTACTCCAGGACTTCAAACTGCTGATTTACTTAGGAAAATGTTCAAGATGTAAAATTACACATTAAAAATTTTATCTGCACTCTTGTGATTTTTTTTAATGATTTTAAATACTTTGGTGTTAAATAATAAAAAACATGGGCCAAACAATGTTACACACACACACACACACACACACACACACACACACACACACACAAGCTTCAGCTTCAGTCTTTGGAGCATCAGCTAGCAATCATGGCTGCAACTCTTAGTACCCTGAGAGCCCAAAGGCCTGCTTTGACATGGAATCTACTTTGACATGGGATCTGCTTTGACACAGGCTTTTGAAACTTGCAAGGCTTCAGGTATCTCATGAGCCACTTTCATGATAAATCTAGGACTTGCTAATCATTTTTATTAGTAGGTAGTAAAATTATAAAAATCTCCTGGGTCTGACATTTGATGTCATCATTTTAATTGATACATACTGACTTTCAACCGTGTTCCAAGATGAAAAACTAGCTTCTAGATGTATCCAGAATCAGTTATACAAGGCCACATAAAGCAATGCTATTTTAGTTAACCAAGCCTATCAGTATAGCGTTTTTTAAAATCTCAATACCAATTTAAATAGTCAAAGTCCAAGTTAATTAAAGGAACTAAATGGTCAAAACAAAACCTCTTTCCTTAAATTAGTAAAAGCTCTTTTCTTAAAAAATAGAACAATCTCCATTCAATTAGACAAAACTCTTCTCTGCCCTGCAGGATCAGTTCTCTCCAGGGTTTTACTTGCAACCAATTAATTATGTTTCTCAATGTCCAACATAAATAGATATTTCTTTTTCTTAATCTAAATTGTGTACATTGAGACATCTCTCTCTTTAACTCTTCTGGAGTCCTTAATTTTTTTTTTTTTTTTTTTTTGCCTTCAGAAGTTTTGAAGAAGGCAGCAAGAATAGTTTCACATATGCTAAAGATTATAAATTGACATTTGAAAAAATAAATCCAAACTTCTAAAAGGACAGGTGTAATACTTGGATGGCTCAGTTATCTGAAGGTAACAGAGAAGAAGAAAAGCAAGATTTTTCAGAAAGAACAGACCTTTCCACTACAATCACTTTTAAAAAAAAGTCTCTGTTATTTCACAATCTGAAAATCTTTTGAAGTAGATAATGAAATCAGCAAATCCAGAGATTCTTGGAGGACTCTGAGTCTATTGGAACCTTGTCTTTTCCTATTATGGTGGCTCTATCTGAAAAGCCTTCGGACCTGATGCCTGGGCTACACTGAGTTACTGGAGATAAGCATCTGAAGAAAAAAAATTACTATATATTATCAAGCTTGTGAAAAGTTGAGAAAAGGCTCCTGCAATTTAGCTGTAAAGGCTAAGGATGCAGAAATGACGGGAGGTGATTGGAAGCAGGGCAATTTACTCTAAAAAGTTTCTTACCTCATTTAAACTTTGATACATTTTCCTCCATTTCTCAATTCCTAACAGTAATTCAGTCAAAACTCTGTAAAAGTGAGTTTTAAGGCAACCGAGAACGCTATGAACATGTTTGATATTTTATTTTCCCAGAATGCCTTCGTATTTGGAATTAATTATGCTGCCTAACAGAAAATGTTACTCCATGGTGGTTTGGAGGGGGCCTTATGCACACACCTATTAACCAGCCTCCTCAGATTGTCTATGAGAGGCCGGAGGGAACTGGAGAAGTCACAGCCACATGCTTTTGAGCTGTCATTTGTTCTGATGGAAGAAAGCTTTAAGTACATGACCATCTTCCCTTCTTCTCCATGCAGTCAGTACAGATCTTGTGCTTTGAGCTCACTACTAAGTGTGTACTCAGTGGCCACGAACCGTGGTGCTAATTTGATAAAGTTAAATGAAGATCAGAAGCTTTGGTGGCTCCCAGGTGATAATAAGGCATCCACTAGTAAGGGATTAGGGAAGGCACAGAAACATAAACACAATGTAAGCATTGCCATTTTCTTGCCCTCTTTCCATGTATTGCCATTTTCTTGCCCTCTTTCCTGCTTCCCTCTGGCTCCAACCAATCCTGGAAAAAACTGGTTTTTTCCAATTAAAATTGTTTATTTTTAAAATGTATGATATTTTATTTAATTTTCCTTATCCTATCCATTACTAAACTTGCATTTTTTTTTACTTTCCCTGAGAATATGGGCAGGGTCCAGGGAGGCCACTTAAACCCCTGTTAGAGGAAGGAAAGGTTTCTGACTCACTCAGGTGCCTCGTTCTCATACAGAAGTCCAGTCCCTCATCCCTGTATTCTTTGCAAGGGGATTTTGGCTTTGGATTCTGAAGCTATTGCTTGATCTCAGATCACAGACACTGAGGGGGTCTATATCTGTTTCAGGAGGATGAGTTTCAAATCTCAGGTCCACACAGCAAAAGAAATACCTTTGAGTAGCAGGAGTGAACAGTCTTGCTGGTTTCAATTTAAACTAAGTGTAGGAATTCATTTGTGTCACTTGGATGCCAGACACTGACTTGCTTATTTTGCCTCAAAGACTGGTTGAGGGACTTCCCTGGCGGCCCAGTGAGTAAGACTCTGTGCCTCCAATGCAGGGGGTGTGGATTCGATCCCTGGTAGGGAAGGTAAGATCCCACAAGCTGCGCAGCTCCGCCAAAAAAAAAAAAAAAAAAAAAGACTGGTTGAGTTTCTAAAGAGAAACAAAATACCTCTAATTCCAGGCACCACAGATCACCCATGTAAGCTTAACCATAACCTCGGCCAGGGAAGAGGGCCACATGCCATTCTTAACCCAGAACCCTGGGGAATAACTAGGTGATGAGAGCATTCTCTATCTGGGGAAAGCGTGGAACTGCCTAAATATACATTGGGAGTGAAAAATAATTAAACTTAGTTTTCCTCGTGGACAGTATTCTCAAAACTAGGTATAGAGGCAATACATTAAAATGTTTTTCTAAGGCACCTATGAATAAAATGAGAAATGAGTGAAGCCTGAAGCTGATTATATACCAGTAGGTTAGCTTCTTGCTTCATTAGTCATTAACTATTTCTGTAACGCCAAGTTTAATATGTCAACAAAAATACCACCTTCAGTGACCATCTCCCAAGGCATACAATGGAATTGATACTGTCTCTGAGAACATCTTCTTTTAAAGATATCAAGAAGGGAAGTCTGCATTTTAAATATAAACGTGGATCAAGGCAAACAAAAAAGAGAGAAGGTAATTTAGCAATGGAAAATGGTTAGTAGAGGCAGTATACTTGAGGCCACTAGAGGAAAAAGAGCTTATTTGCCAGGTGGAATAGACTGCACTCTGATGTGTGTGTTTGTGTGTGTGTGTGTCTTTTCTAGCTGTGATTAAAAAAAAAAAAATTCTAGCTGTAATTCTCTTCAATTTAGGTCCTGATCAGATACCTCTCAGGGAAGAATTTGAGCAAATTATGCTGAAAGCTATGCAGGAATTTACTCTGAGAGAGAGAGCCCTGCAGATGGGTGGTCAGTGCACGCCTGTGTCACCAGGACAGCTCCCCTGGCTGGCTAGGTTAATTGCCAGCGTATCTCAAGACTTGGTTCATGTGATTGTGACCCAGAACTCCTTGGCGGAGGGCATTTCAGAGACATTGAGGACTCTCAGTGAAATGAGACACTATCAAAAACTACCAGATTATGTTGTGACAATTTGTGCATCGAAAATCAGAGGAAATGAGTTTTGTGTGGTAGTATTAGGTGAGTCATTTTTTCATTCATTCATCATCTGTCCATTTGTATAATACTAAACGGGGTGTTTCAGGCATCCATGTAATTAATCTCTGGTCAAGGGCTCCAACTTGGGTTCTTCCTCCTAATTTTAACTTTTCCTTTGCTCCTCAGATCAGATTTTTATAGCCCTTAGTTTGGCTGTTGTCCCTGTCAGCTGGTTGTGGGAGCATTATTTCAAAGCACACCCTAGTAACAGATACCCTTGTCTCATGTAACTTCTGTCCTTAAGATGTTTTGGAAATGTTACCACTCCAGCATGTGATAAAGCCATTGCCACAGGTGGTTTAAGCCAGTTAATCATATTTGCCAGGAACTTAGCTCATATATTCACCTCTTCACTAAGAGGATATTTAATGTTATAACATTGACCATAAAGAAAACGTTCAGAAAGTTGGTATGTTACAAAATTGATTTTTGTTTCTGGTGCTGATTTTCTATCAGGCACCATCCTGAGTTGCCATTTGGACCAAATTTTGCTGCGTTGCCATTTGGACCAAATTTTGCTTTTCTTCTCTCAGTGAATGGCTTTCACCTCTTCCTAGCAAAGGGGCCAAGCCCTCTTGCTTTGACCATACCCACCTGCCCATCTCTCTGTGATACATATTTCTTTCAAAAAGCTTCATCAGAAAGTGTAACACATTCATTTTCTAATTTTCATTAGTAAAAAAACAACATAAGTTTATATTTTTAAGACTGATACTCATAATAGCCATGCAGACACAACTTTTTAAAGGTTTTTCACATTCCTCTCGAGTCTTTTAAATAGATGCATGGTATGTTCTCACCATTACAAACATAAGGTATGTTATTTTTTTCCCTTGATCACCTAACTTTGTATTATAAACTTTTCAAATGAAATTTTGAAACTGTCATTTCAAATGCTGTATAATTGCCCATCTTTTGATATGCCATACTTTTCTTAGCCAAGTCCCTCTAGCTACATACTTTAGTTGTGTTTCCAGTTCTTGCTGTTCTAAATCACTTCCCGGTGAACATTTGTTCACTGGCATGTTGTCTCCCCCTCTGTTCTGCAGGTCAGCATCAGTCCAGAGCTCTGGCAGAGAGCATGCTCACCACAAGTGAGTTTTTGAAAGAAATTAGTTATGAGCTCATCACAGGAAAGGTCAGTTTCCTGGCATCGCATTTCAAAACCACATCATTAGGTGAGTGGCAGTCAGATTCAGCAACACTGCCGGCCCCTGGCTGCGTGATTTTCTGAATTTAAATCTTAGTGTGAGCTGAGTGTGGAGGTTAAGCTTGCCCGCTGATCTTCCCTCATTTGGAATGGTTTCTCCTAAGCATTTTGTTACTGACACAGCAAAGGGGTCCAGGCACAAGGATGTGAGGCCTCAGCTCAGCCACTGCTTTGTTGTGTGACCTTGGGCAACGCTCTGCCTCCCCAGATCTCAGTTTTCTAATATGTCAAATGGAGATATAATGACCCCGTCCTGCCTGCTCTGAGTATTATAGGGGCTGAGAGAGATTTAGTATGTGGGAGCATGGAACCTGTAAGCACAATACAAACAAGGGTAGCTCTGGCTACCGAGATCCTGCTACAGGGATGGGTGAGTGTAAATTCCGACGTGAAAAGTGGGATGACCAACAGATCTCGACGGGAGCCCAGCGTAACTGCCCAACTTGGAGACATACAAACATGTCATTCCTTGTGACTTTCTTATCTCCACTTTATTTTGTAATAGGTGATGACCTAGACAAGCTGCTAGAAAAAATGCAACAGAGAAGAGGAGATAGTGTGGTGACCCCTTTCAATGGAGACCTTAATGAATGTGTGTCACCTCAGGAAGCTGCTGCTATGATCCCCACGCAGAACCTGGGTAATGTCACCACAGGCCAAAAGGAGGAAACTAGTCCTCAGGACAGACATAGAAGCTAAGTCGTTCTGAGGGTTTTAAGGTCTTGTCTTCAAGTCACAGACTATGACAGGCCTTTCCTCATTATCTACATGATAAATCTGGCTCAAGTTAAAAATGCCTTACCCTGTGGCCTGGGCCCCATGCCTTTGTTCTTAGTAAATTTCTCCTAGAATTAAAATCAAAGCCAAAGACTTTATTTTAAGCAGTGCCTCTCTTTGTTTTTGTTTTCTTGGGGGAGCGGGGATCCTTGGTGTACTCTCCTTAACTCCACCAGCTGTGCTCACCACTGTGGGTGCTCATGTAGGGCTTCAAAGAACTACTTGAAAGAATCTAGACTACAGTCTGTGCAGGGCTCCTGGCTCTCTGCTCCCTGCATCTACTCTCCAATGTGTAAAACACACATAATCTCAGGGTTAGTGAGGCCTTCCTGGCAGCTGGAGCAGAAACACTGACATATCATCTGACCTACAACGAGCTTGCAGAATGCCAAGGGGGACGGTGGGACCAGGGGTGAGGAGTTCAATCACTAGATTAGATTCCTTTAGGTTCAAATCCTTCCCCAGTTCCCTGTTTGATAGGGACAATATAAGAAAGGACAGAACAGAGAACAGGAGAAGGATGGATACGAAGCAGAGATGCTGACAGCCTTTTGGCTTCCACTTGATGGGAATGCATCCTTTATGCATTAGGATGACAGCAGGAAAAGTAGCATGGCTTGGCATTGGCTCAGGCGTAAAAATGAATTCAAAGGCAAAAGTTTTTGACTTCTGGACATTGCATGACAATAAATTGACCATCCAGATAATCTAAAATGTGTTATGTGAACAAAGTTAAAATTTTGAAATTCTCACATGCCCACATACATATCCTTGATTCCCTGTTTAAGAAACATTGCTCGGGAATTCCCTGGTGCCCTGGGTTCAATCCCTGGTCAGGGAATTAAGATCCCGCACGCTATGTGGCCAAAAAAAGAAAAAAAAAAAGCTTAAAATAATAATAAATAAGAGATCTTGGTGGTTAAAAAAAAAAAAAGAAAAAAAAAAGAAACATTGCTTAAAGATATTTTTAGGTTTCCTCCAACGTCAAAATTTGTTAAGTTCAATTCTACAGAGTTATGCCATCCCCTGTGTTAGTCCCCGTTCATCTAACCCGCAAAATGAAAGAAACAACAGCCTGACTATCCAAAGACAGATTTTTATTTTGGTTGGTAATCTTTGTGGGTCAAAAACTATTTGGGCTATTATTAAAGGTTGCAGTTTGGGGCTTTTCTAGAGATCAGCCAGTAGGGAGACCCACCTGTATAAATCTCCACTCGCTGTCAGGGTTCCATGGTGGCTGGGGTCCCATGACTACCGTCTTTGCCTGGGAAGTATTGCAGCTTGATTTTAGAAAACATTCATTAGCACAGGTTAATTGGGCCCTTGCGTGTTCCAGTCAGACTTCCACATGTGTTCCTGATAAAAACCAGCCCTTTCAAGAAGCATTAAATGTTTCTGCTCAGGTGTTTAGCTGACTAAGCCTGTCTCTCATTATGTGTGCCTGTGCATGCATGCATGTGTAAGAGAGATTGATCGCTTGATTATAACTTGTAATAAAAAGCTACTGGCTTGGTTAGAGTATCTGGGCAATGTTTTTCTAATACGTCACCTATTGAGCAGCCAGCTGGCCATGTCATGGGTCAGGTCTCTTCAGATAGTACAGGCATCAGCATGGGAGTTGACCACAGTCACCCAGACCTGCTAGGTCACAAGCACTGGCAAAGTGGAGTCAAGTGGGAAGAAAGGTGAAGTTAGTGTCATGGGGAGGAGAACTTCAAGCCATGTTACAACTGACTTGCTGGAGAGGAAATGTTTACTGCAGTGCCATCCAGAAAAGCTCAAAGGAACTCAGCATGATTATGATTATGGCATTAGCTCTGAACTGGGTCTGGGCTCAGGCACCTGACCTGTGCTGATAGTCCTAAAGAAACCAGGAAACTCTTCCCCTTTCCAGAGATGAGTCCTGGCTCCAGCTGCAAGAGTGTGGTCTGTCCCCCCATTTCTGGGCAGGGGAGGGGTGCTGAGTTCATGCCTTGTGAGACAATTTATATTAAAATAATACATTTGTAAAACTACTACATTCACTCTTGAGCACATCTTTTCAGCCAAGTTGTCAGGGAAAGTGGGCAAATCTATTGAAAGTCAATAGAGAGTGAGGATAGAAAGTGAGGATTCTTGGTGATAGAGCATCACTCTACCCTATGTGTATTATTTGTCCCTATATGGATTCATAGAGGCCATCACAGAAGTGAATTAATCTTGTTCTTATGACTTTCTTAAATTTTAGATCTAGATAATGAACCCTTCCAGATTTATCAACCGCAGCTTACGGTTGCCAGAAAACTCTTGTCCCAGGTGTGTGCCATAGCAGACAGCGGCAGCCAGAGCCTGGACCTCGGCCACTTCAGCAAAGTGGACTTCATCGTCATTGTCCCAAGATCAGAGGTTCTGGTCCAGCAAACTCTTCAACGGATTCGACAATCAGGTAGGATGGAACTTTCAAAGAGGGCCCTGCCTAGATCCAGCCTTAGATTCCCTCTGTCTCTTTCTTTGGCTTAATCCAGACATTTTTAGGGGCCTGATTCTATTAAGTCTGTGATGTCATCAGTGGATTAGAAACTGGCCACTCATGTATGAAGAGAAATGTCCTCAAGGCAAAGATAGCCCTGCCTGGGATGACGGGGTCTGTGCCACCTGAAGTCCTTCTGTGGCTCAGTGAGTCATTCTCATGGGAGGATTCTTGTACCTTTTGCACACTACCAGCAGATTTTTCAGCCTAGAAACCAGAACGCTATGCCCTGTGTCAGCAATGAGAAACCTCATTAAAAAAAATTCAAAGTTAGAATTTCTCCTAATTTCTTTAAGAGAATAAGTAGAGAGGAAAAAAATTTTTTTCCAGAAAATGTGAAAAGGTAGGGAGCAAATATTTTAGAAGTCTGTGGTAAATAACATCCCTCTCAAACATAAAAGTTGCTTAGAATTACAAGAAGCAATAAGGAATTTAGAAAATTGAGACTGCTGAAAATGCCTGCCTTTGTAAACTAGGTTTGAAAAAGAAATTATAAATGTCAAGTTGCTTCTGAGTACCTTAGCTGGGGGAAGACACACACACACACACACACACACACACACACACACACACACACGCAGATTTTAACTGGAGGATAAATCTTTTTGCCACAGTAAAAAAATTTATTTTCAATATATTTGAAAACAGGAAGCAGAAAACTTCAGAAGAGCTTAAAATACAGTTTATATGTTCCACACCTGTCATTCAGTGCTCCTTAAACTTTAGGGTGCATGCAGATCACTAGGGATCTTGTTAAATTGCAGATTCCCCTTCAGTAGGTCTGGGTGGGCTCCAGATTCTGCATTTCAAACAAGCTCCCAGGGGCTACCTGGGCAGCTGGTCAGAGGACCACTCTTTGATTAGCACAGCTGTACAAAAAATCTTTCATTCTAAGTTCCATGGGCCAGATGAGCTGACTAACAAAAGGCTTTTCCCTCTTTAACACCTCTTAGTGGCTGTGACTGAGACATGTAAAGTCTTTCCATGCCTCGTCGAGACCCAAGCGCCTGGTTAACAGTGCAACCTGTGTTTTAGCCTCTAAAATTTTGAATGACAAGTTACAAAATGGCCTGTTAGAAATATTGACTTATAGTTGAATTAGCCAGAGACGGTCAAATGCCTTCTCTCACAGCTCTCCCAGAAACTGGAGTGAGTTCTAGACATCCTCAGCTACTGGCCATTCGTCATTTTCTTTCCGCCCCCCTCCATTGAGGGAAATGGAGGGGTTTTCGTCACACCAGGCATGAACCAGATTTTTGCTACTTCTTGTGGATTTTCCACTTTATTACTGTGGAGGGAGCACAAAGGGCATTTGTGGCCTTCCTGAGTTTGTGATCTGATATCCCAGTCATACTCCAGCCAGGTCATCTTAGCACCTGTTTCAAGGGGTGAAATCATCCATGGTCAAGTGGTTGTACTCTCCCCAGAGCCTTTTCCTCAAATAACCTGTTGATGACCTGTATTTTCGCCTTTTTTAATCAGTGCAAGACCCTAAATAAAACCCTGCATTTTTGACAGATAGAGAAACTCTATTGGTCCTTCCTTTTCCCTTCTCAACGCCCTCAGATTTTTCCAAAGTGAGTATTTTGAGATTATCATTCCTTAGAAAGGACTGGTATTTGACTAGTTACATAAGCTTAGAATCCAAGAAAATCAGTGTTACAGAGATTCAGAAAATTCAAGGCAAAGCATATTTTTAAAATTATTCACATCTGGCCTTGGCATACATACTGAAAATTTTTGCTGCAGAAACAATCACTTCTATATATTTTTAAATAACTGTATTCATTTTTATTATACAAAAAACCAGAGTTGTTGTTTTATTTTGAAAAATAAAAGAAAGTAGGAAACTTTAAACACTTATAATCCCACCACTCAAGGATAATCACTGTTAAAATGACTTAATACCTAGTGTTCCAGGCTCTCTTCTCTGCCTATGTCTGATATTATAGTAGGCACATTTTTCCACATCATTAAGGTTTTGTAAGCATCACTCGTAATGAATGTGTATGATATTCCATATCATAACAACACCAAAATTTATTTGCTTTTTTTATTTGAATACCTTTGTATTTTTGGAACACATCACAGTTGATAGAACCCGAAGGACCAGAAACATTTTAAGGTGTAAAGAGATTGTCCAGAGCAGAGATTCTCCACTAAAACAACTCTTGAAAGTCATTGCTATGAAAACACAGAGGATTCTCAAGAAGTCATCTGACTCAGTTTCCTCATATTTTGCCATGTGAATCAAGGAGAGCTACATTTGCCTAAAGTCCAGAGGGCAGTGCTTTGGGGACAAGGACTGTTCTCTCATCTCTGTGTGCCTGGTGCCTCATTTCTGCCTCTCCTGGGCCTGGCACCAGTAGGGGCTCAATTAGGGGTTCGGGTTCGAAGGGAGAGCTGGGGCTGGAGGGAGGAAGGGGAGGGATGGGCAGAGGGAACACCAGTGTCCAAGTGCTTTGCTCTCTGGTTCCATTTACCTTTCCCTAAAGGAAGCATTTCAGCAGCCAGCCTGCCAGGAAAAGCACCAGGCAGGGAGAAGCAGCCAGGACATGCAGAAAGGCCACATCCTTGGCAGCCCTTGTGTGGCTGAAAGAGAAAGGTGAAAATAGAAACCATCACGTTGTTGCAGACTCAGCACTAAGGCGAAGCATTTGGTACCTTAACTTACTTTCTAACGAAGGAAGGGAGGCAGGGAGGAAAAGAAGACAAAAGAAAACAGTACAGAAAGAATTGGAAGGTAAAAAAAAGAAATGAAATGGGTTAAACCTTTTTAAGTTTGCCCCAGATGGACTTGTAAATGCTGCAGTGATCAATGGAAAAGCAACATAAGGAATTTTTAGACCATAGGAAATTCTTTTGTTTTAGTGTCATTTTTTTTTACAGACTGATGTTGTAGCATAGTTCTTCTAATTCAAGAAGCTCCAAATGCTATAAATTAGAATACTAGGTTATCAAAATGCGATCAAAGTGCAAGCCACTTTCAACTCCACATGAGTAGGATGAAAACAGGAAGGATTAGTGACACCATATTTTCCTCCTCCCTGCTTTTAAAATGGTATCCGTGGGAGCCCCCAGCAAATGGGAGCAGATCTACGAGTATCCAGTCAAGGAAGTTTTATCATGCTCAGGGGAATGACATAAATTTGACACCTCAATACATGCCTGATCATAAAAGAACCAGAGAGACAGTTTCGTCTGCTGATACGTGGATAGGTTTTAAGGCAGTGGGAGAGATTAGGAGGGGAGGAGAAGAGAAGGCAATTTCACTTTCTGAAATGTATTTTCTTGGTCTCATCAACCTTATGTCTCCTTGTTAGTCAGCAGAAAATGTAAGCGGAATAAAGGAAGTGAGAAAGGCAGCAGGGAGTGGGATCCCAGGGAAGAAAGTACTAGGAAAGCACTCTGCCCTGAGGTGGAGTAGGGAAACACCAGAGATTCCTCTGTACAAACAGAACTGAACAAGTACCTAACGTTAGCATCTGTGAAGTCAGTTTCCAACCACGTCGTAGCTGCCCAGTGCCCACCCCTAGTTTATAGACAGCGTTGGCACCTGCCTCACAGCCACCACCTCCCCTCCAAGTGGACGACCCCACCGAATCCTAGCTTCTCTGCATTAAGCTCTCATCCGCAAACACCTTTCCCTCTACTGCTCATCAGGCGCCTGCCCCCTAGTCATATCCCAGACGCTCCTGGATCCTGGACTTGTAAATTCTAACAACCCCAACACCAGACCACGGACTTCTTTGCAACATACACTGTGTGGGGAAAAAAAATCAACCTTTCCGATTGATGCCTCATAAATTCTTTCTGGTTCTTTAGTTGGCTCTCTCTCCCGCTTTCCACGGTGACTGGCTCTTGCAGACTCCGTTTCACTCACAGTTCTGACCTCATCCTTCTCTTAGCAAAGGACCATGCCGCTTATTTCTCCCCTCCCCCACCCCCAGAGGAAGAAAACTTCAGATAAAAACTTCCTTCCAAATCTGGAAACCTGCCTGCATATACACCCATCATTCCCCCTTCCTTCCTGATCAGTGAAGAGCTGCCCTGCTCTGTGTAAGCCTGCTTCTCCCACCTTGCTCTGGAGGCCGTGCTGTCCTCATTCTCATGGACCTCACACTCTGATGATCTCCTCTCTCATTGTCACCTTCCATTTCCTTCCCTCCTGGAGCTCATTCCATCAGTTTTAACCTGCCCCACTCCCTCAGAGACAAAACAAGCAAGCCTCTGTTAATCCTACCTAACCCTCCAGTTTATCCTCCTCGACTTAAGTGACAAACTTACTGAGGGAGTTGTCTGTTGTCATCTTCATTTCCTCAACTCCCAGTCACTCAACACCCTGCAAACTGGCCTCCACTCCCCACTGCCACGCTTCTAGGACTCTCACCAATGTCACCAATGACTTTTTCTGTCCTTACCTGGACTCCTGACAGCACAGGTGCCCTCCATTCCTTCCTTTAAGCACTGCAGTGCCTTTGGCTTCCAAGACACATCCTTTCCCAGCCTTCCTTCTACAAGTCATGCTCCAGTGCTACTCTGTACCCTGTGGTGCTCCAGCCCGACACTCAAGACTGCGTAGTGGCTGTGTGTTTATTGATGATCTTTCTCTTCAGCTAGAAAGCAGATATTCAGGGTATAGGTCTGTCTTCTCTATGGCACAGGAGACACTTAACAAATGTGTTGAACTGAAGTTTTGTAACGTTCTGTTGAATTTTAAGTTAAAATCTATTTTAAGAGGAAGACATAGGGAGTTCCCTGGCGGTCCAGTGGTTAGGACTTGGTGCCTTCACTGCCGTGGCCTGGGTTCAATCCCTGTTTGGGGAACTAAGATCCCACAAGCCGTGTGGCACAGCTGAAATAAATAAATAAATAAGAGGAAGACATAGAAGTAATTAATATTTAAGATGTGGCAG